GCCGATTTCTGCCCTTCTCCTGTCTGGTAGTTCACACTGCCCTCCCCGAGTGTTGCTTCTCTTCAAACTTTGGTCCCAATCTGAAAAAAGCAAAAACACAAATTGCACTTTACTTTGTTAGTTCAGCAAAAAGGATTTCCAAGCAATAGAAACAGAAAGTAAATAAAAACTTTAAGGGAAATTTAAAAAATCTCAAAAGCATAAAACCATCAAGTCTGTGAACTACTGCTTTCTGATCGTACAATAACAAAAGGTCTCTGTTTAGTCCACAGAACAGAGGAATGATGTGAGCGGCTGATACAAACACCCCAACTCTGAGATAATGATTTCTTGGCCAGGGCCACAGGTAGCTTACGGGCTGCCTTTGTGTAAACTAGAAGAAAATGCACCTCTCGCTGACCAGGCACAGCACAGCTCCGTGGCACACGGCTTGGTAGGCAGGATGCAGGCTGAACTTCAGGCCCCGTCCCCCACCCTGGTCAGTACCTTTGTGGAGTAAATGAACAGTCCACACCTCTGAAGGTAATGGCTTCTTTTGTTGGCCCTTGGATTAGAGTTTTATTTAAAGTTGAGAAATCTTTCTCTCTTCCTAGGTATTTGTTTTTGTTTGTTGTTGTTGTTTGTTTGTTACCACCTGCCCTCTGGGTACCTTGTTGCCTCTCTCCCAACTTAAGCTGGGATGCTCTCCCAGAAAAATATCCTTCCATCCATTCCCCACGAGCAACCTCAGTCAGGCCAACAAGCACAAAGTCTTTCAACTTCTCAAGCCCCTCCCACATGTCAGGCTTCAGCTTTCCAATTCTGCACTGATGTGCAGGACAAAGTAACTATTGCCCTTGGTACCAGTGAATAAATAACCTTGCTTTTCCAGACCAGGCCAATGGATCTACCCAACTCTTGAACTTCCTGTGATAACTCACTCCCAAGACAGAGAAACCACATAAAAATACCCTGCTTGTACAATTCTAGGTGCACTCTGTAAGCCCAAGTGCAATGTGTGCTTTCTCAGACACGCAGGTAAAAACGACGACTTAATTTTGGAGGCAGCAGGATACGGTGGAAAGCACCCAGGTTGTAGAACAAAACAGGTCTGTGTTAAATTGCAACTTACTACCCGTGGGTCTCCGGTTAAGGTTTTCAGTGCCTCAGTTTCCTTGTTCAGAAAAAAAGCATAAGACTTAGATTGTAAAGTTATGCATTGATTTTCTAGGGCTGCATAAGAAAGCACGACAAACTGGGAGCCTTAAACAGTGAAAATGTATTACCTCACAGTTCGGGAGGTTGAGTTTGAAACCAAGGTGTTGACAGAGTCGGTTCCTTCTGGTTCCTTCTGGTTCCTTCTGAGGGCTGTTAGGTCTCTCTCTTTGGATGGTAGATGGCTGTCTTTACATTCACATGGGGTTCTCCCTGTATATGTGTCTTTCTACCTGAATTTCCCCTTTTTATAAGGACGCCAGTCCTACTGGATTAGGGCCCACCTAACAGCCTCACTTTAACCTACTTAGCCTTGTAAAGACCCTCTCTCCAATAAGGTCACACTTTGAGGTACTGAGAGTTAGGACGGCGACATATCTTTTTGTGAGGAATTCATAACAAGTTGCTAATGTATTAAATTTGTAATGTATGAGAAGCACCCAATAGAAACCCTGGGAAATAAGAAGTGCATAATTAATAAATAATAACTTCTATTTATTATTAATTTTGTCTTCTGTAATCTTATCAATACATGGTTACTCTAGGATTAATGGACATAGATAGAGAAAGGGTCTATATGGGGGGAAAAATGTGTAAATATCCAGAAAAGTCAGACACAAAAATCAGTTAATAAGAATAAAAAACATTATGTGTTTGGGGGAGAGGGAAGGGAAAGAGCAGAGAAGCAGGGTAAGTGGTTAATAGAGGTGATGAAATTTAATTATCCAGATTGACCAATTTTGAATTAATTAACACTCCATGTTACTTCATTTTGAAAGCAGCGTCAAAGACTGATAGAGATGAAATCAAAGTCTCCCCATAAACAACAGAATTCATGCCAGAAACACTCAGGATCATTGTGTTCTTAAAGCAAAAGGGGTCATTAGAAAACCAACCACATGATTCTGATGACAGAAGAACTCAGACTATAATTATTTCACAAACAGCATTACTCAGAAAATGTTGAGTACAGTAACACTTGCAAGCCTGTCTGGGGTTTAAAAGTGATGCTTTTCTGTGGCACCTTTGGTTTCAGTGTGTTACTTGAAGAGACTTTCTCATTGTTAATAAAACTCAAGAGGAAGAAATTATATTTGTTAGTTTATGAAGAGAGAGACATCTCGTTTGATCTTGAACTTTTCCCTTCAGGATATCCGCAGTGGTGGTTGGGTAACTAAGACGATGCAATGGAATGCATTGCCGAGTGGGTGGGTCTTCAGGAAGATGAAAGGTTATTATGTAAGAATCTGGTCTCCATTAGGAATACAACAAGAGGAAATATGTTTGATTTGCAGAAGGAAGAATTTAGGCTAGATCCAAATACTTTCTGTACTGCTGATCAGTAAAATAGATACACAAGAGAGGCTAAGTAATACAACTCTTAAGAAAATCTATAAAATTATGATAAAAATTGCATTGTGAGTAGCTTTTAAAAATCATAAGGCCTTGTGAATATTCTGTCCAGCATATGAGATTTGTATTACTCTATCCAATTTTCTAGTGTCAGTGTCATTTCTAAATAATCCTTATGACTACTATTCAATTCAATAAAAGAATATATTTTAACTGGATGGTTAAGTTTGACTAAATTGATCAAACTGAAAATTAATTTTGATGGTATAAAGGCATGGCCTCAGCATTTTCCCACTCAAAGATTTCCATTGAAGTCAAGCTAAAGAGAAATGGAGAGCCCTGGCTGGCATAGCTGAGTGGATTAAGCACAGGTCTGCAAACCAGAGGATCGCAGTTCAATTCCCAGTCAGGGCACATGCCTGGGTTGCAGGCTGGTTCCCTGCAGGCCAGTTCCCAGCAGGGGATGCATGAAAGGCAACCATACATTAATGGTTCTCTCCCTCTCTCCTTCCCCTCTGAAGATAAATAAATAAAATCTTTAAAAAAAAAAAAAAGAAATGGAGAGAGCTTTAAATGTTAGATGTAAGGCCTAAACCCTGATTTTCCCAGGAAGAGCCTAGATTTCTTTGAGAAGGTCCTTGCTCCCCTCCCTTCCTTCCTTCTTCCCTTCCTCCCTCCCTCCCTTCCTCTCTCTCTCTCTCTCTTTCTGTCTGTCTTTCTCTCATTCCTAAGAACCTTTCCCATAAGGAAGAAACACATGCATACTCTCTGTTTTGTTTTGGAGAGTACCAAATAACTTTTGAACTGTAGTTGTGAAAGGTAAACAAAAGGAGAAGCTGCACTCTCCATATCGATTTTTCTTTTTTCGGTGGAGGCAGCAGATACTTGTGCGGATCTTTTTTTCACTTTGCCTGAGGAGATGTGTTCAATGACTGTCTATAAGGGATCAAAAGTGGTCATCGAGCAAATCTATTTTCAGAAGTAATTTTATACACCAAGGAATCTTGGCCAATAACAAGAACAAATATATTAGAAGTACAAATACATAAAAAATAACAACATAGGACTTTCATCTCTAGCAATATTGCTGACTAGATAATCTGTAAATTCTCTTACTAAAAATTACTTAGATATACTGAATAAAAATATAACAAGTGTGCTTCTAAGTGCTAAGAAAGTTAAGGAAATACTCCAGAAATTGATCTATAAACTGCTCTGGATTTATTTTTTGCCAGTTTAGTCAACCATGGATTTGGGTTTTAATGGTGTGAAGGTACAAGGGACATATTTGGGGGTCCACAAAGCACAGAAATTTGGATCTAAGACCCTCAAATAAAGAACTGTTGAATACATCTTTGAAAGGGGAGGACGGAAAACGTTTATTCCCTCCCAGAGGGAGGCTTAACCAACTTTTGGTTAGTCTGGGGAAGGGGAAAGGAAAGGAAAACTCCTAGAATCTGAAAAAAACTGAGAACCTCAAGCTGCCCTCACTCAAGTTTAGGATTTGAATTTACACTCTTTGGAGGGCATAGATTATCGAACAAAGTGGCGTAGAAATAGTCAGGAGCATAACAATACTGATGCCCTCAATAAAAGTAATTAAAAGCCTTCTTTAGAAAGACATATTTTCAATCCTACATAGGATTTCTATATATAAAATCCCACCAACTATGAACCCACAATTCTAAATTACAAACTACTAGATGAAGAAACAATCCAGAATCATCAGCAAAAACAACCGACATTGTTAGACCCTAAGATCTTTAGAAATAGATTATAAAATAAGTATATTCAAAATTGTTAAAGGGAAAAAAATACTGCTGAAATATTTACTCAGAGTCATTTTTTAGGTCTCTGAAGGGGTTGCTTTGTGTCATTTTACCTATGAAATAACTCAGGGCCAGAGGGCCCCCATGCTGTACTCAGACCACCCCTTCCTGCACAGGCTTGGGGTTCAGTGAGCAGAACTGCTGGCCTTCGGTTGTGGGCCCCCAGCAAAGGGAAGTTGGAATCAGCTGAAGACAAGCTTAGAAAGCGGACTGATTAATTTCAAAAGGGTGGAAAGAGGGAGAACCAAATGAAAGAGAAGCAAGGCAAAGCCAGTGCATTTAGAAGGCGGAGGATGTAGGGCTCCTTAAGGTAAAGCAGTGCAAAGGGAAGCAACCTTTATAGGTCACCTTCAAAGGAGGCTGTGGTTGACAGCTGGCCTGGGCAACATTCGTAAGTGTTGTTTTAACTGAAGTGAAGCCAGATCCCGTGAAAGAAATTTTATTTCAGAGAGACTTAACTTGAAGATTTTAATCTCTGGAACTCTACATATTTAACCGGACTTGGTCACTCCTGTCTTTGCTCCAGGAACTTCTGTCCTTTGTCATGTGGGTGTTGGAGACTAAACTCTGAGAGTCTTCTGTCCATACTTATCCACTCCCAAATGAATGGGACAGAAAACGTCCTCAGAACCAGACTGGGCCTTTGTGTTTTAATATAAACGTGGTATCCTGTGAGGTCTGCAGGTAGCAGGTCCTGTTGAAAGGAAGCATGATGAGGTCATGCGATGGTTACTTTCATCTGCATTCAATTGTTTGAACATTTTTGTACCTGTTTTTAGGATTAGGAATGGGATAGAGAAATAAACAAAATCAATTCAAACTCTTTTTGCTTAAGAAATTTTCTAATTTCCAAATAGGAATCAGCTGTTTTTATGAATGAAATCCAATTCAAAGGTAATTCCAATTAGCATAATGTGATGGGAACATTTTATTGGTTGGGCATGGTAGTGTTATAAAATGAAATGTTTAATAGGAATAAAATATAGCCAGAACCCCAGGGAGCCGAAATATCATCAGTTATTTTTTTCCTTCCTTCCGCCCTCCCTCCCTTCCCCTTTTCCTCCCCCTCCTCTATTTCCTCCTCTGTCCCACCTCCCCCATCCTCCTTCCTCTCCCTCTCCTCTCTGTCCATCCTGGCTGTTCCTTTTTCTCTCAGCACCTGCCTTTGCAAACATTGTGTTTTGCCCACTCACCTGCAGCTGCTTGTGATGGCCTCAGCCCCGCTGAGTCTGTCTCAGGCATTACAACCGGCATTACAGGCCGGCATGGAGAGGGAAGACATAATCACAGTCCTAAAAGTTCTAGAAGCGTAGAGTTACTTTTTATCTCCTTGAATAAAAATAGAGCCACCCTGTGCCCCATGGGATAATTTCCAAGCTCCCCTCTGTGTTTAAGGACAGCTAGGCTCCGCCCCGCTTGCAGGGAGAGTCGTCTTGTTTCATACCGCACTTCCCTTGTTTGTCCCGTATTTCGTGGCCCTGGTGATGGCTGTGATAGGCCGTGGTTAGTGTGTGTTCTAAGGACTGAGTGAAGGATCCTTTGGAGTCAAAGCAGGGCGTCCCTTCTGCCAAAAACAGAAAACATGAAAGAGGAATAGTTACAGGTAATACTTTGTAGATAAAATTCTACTTTTCTTTCTATATCACTTTGATTTATTCTTTCTTCCTAGCTTTAGAAGCTAACAGGTTAGAAACAGGTTAAGTTTAGTCTAACATAAATAGTACCTCTTTTAGAACAGCATTTGCAACACAGTTTGCACGTTCGGAAGGATATTAAATATAAAAAATAAGGATTTCACACTAAATACATATTAGAAATAGTTAATTAAACCAAATCAAACAGGTTCCTCTACTGCAGGACTTTTCAGATACTTTAATATGCTAATGACATTATAATTACAGTTTCTCAAAATTTATTTGACCATCAAAAAAGCATAGTTGTAAAAAAAAAAGCATAGTGGTGGAAACAAAAGCTCTTAACTTTGTTCCTGCCAATGGAGGTTCCACTGCTCTCTCGACCCAAAGGATTGTCTGATGCTGCTCTTGGCTCAGTCCTGTCTCCTAGCTCCAAACATTCCCTTCTCTACTCTGCTATGTGATGTAGGGGCCAAGACTGGTCATTTTATTTGGGTCAGTTGCCTTCCAACTGGGGTGTCCCTGAGGGGGACTGGACAGCAGGAGGAAGGGAATTTTTCTTCTTCCTTTTTGTCTGCTGTTTCTAGGTGTCACCCTGTTGATGGCTCTGTGCTGGGCGACAATAGTCAATTGCTGCCTTCGGCTCTCCCCACGCTCCCAGAACCTCACGGCCATCTATCTGAAGTGGCAGTGGCTCCAGGTGGTGCCCCTCTCGTGGGTCGGGGCTGCAGATCCAAGAGGCCTCTCCTCCAACACCTGAGCTACAAGCAATGGCCTGGCACTGCCCCACCCTGAGACCTAGGCCCCAGCTCTATGTGCCTCTGACCCAAGTCCCACTTCTGGTACCTCCAACCTCTTCTCTAATAGTGGAAGCTGCTTCCTACCCATCTCTCGTTATGCTAGTGTTCCAGTTTCTTTTCACAGCCCTCCCACATCTGCAACAACTTTTCATATCAGACTCGCTCTGTTGAAAAAGCTAGCCTGGTGTCCACGTTCCTAACGGGGCTTTGATGGAAAGAGAATGCCAATGAGAGCTCCTCCACCACGGGCTTTGGAGATAGAGGGAGGATGGGTGAGTGAGAAGAGCTAGGGGAGGAAAAGCCTTGAATTCTTGCCTTGAGCCTAAAGCAAGTTTTTCAAACTTCAGACATTAAAGAGAACTCAAAGGAATTTCAACTTGAATTTTACAGCATCCCTTGAGATAATAGGAGGTATTGTGGGGTGTTATAAAAATAGAATTATGAATTCTTTTCCATCCACTGAATTCTTTCCCAGCCACCGAAATGAACCAGGCACCCTGGTTCAGCAATTTATTAAAATGGAAGCAAATGGACCCTGCAGGGCCATATTGGCCACATGAAAAAACCACACCGTGGCCACTCGGAGACAGTGGAAGGAGGTAGTGTGAGTTGGTCAAGTATCGGAATTTGGAGCAAAATGCAAACAATATGTTCCAAAGATGCATTTTTAAATATTTGGTTTAAAAAAGTAACTAAACTAAGTCTCTGGTTCTTAAAATATGGCTGATCATTCATATCATCTGGGGGAGCATTAAAATGATAAATGGCTGCCTTTGACCCAGGACCAGGGAGCCAGACCTGCCTGGGTTGGGACCCTGGAACTGGTGTTTTTAGAAAACCTCATGTGATCAAGGGATTCTGATGAATAACAGATTTAGGATCCATTATTATATAGAATAAAAACTTTTCCATTTTTTTTTTTTTTAGAACTTAGATCCAGAATTCAGTGTTTTGTTTTTTCCCATGAAAGTTCTGAGCCTGGAGCACCAGGGTGTTGACAGTCTCTCTCCTGGCAGGAGGCAGTGGGGAAACACGGGGCTGGAAGAGAAAAAAGACAGCAGAGCTATCCTAGGAGGCTGGTGTTTGAGCGGCTTTTGATCCTCTCCACCCATCGTCAAAGCCAATCATCAGTCCTCAGAGCGCCACAGCCCTGCTGCTTTCCTTCAGGCACCCGACAGCATCTCCGCCTGGGTGCTGGGGCTCCGAGGGCGCCTGCCGCCAGGATGCTGGAATTTAATTCACCAAGTGGGCCTTTCGCAAGCAGTGTAGAGCTATTCCAAGGTGACTACCTTCCTGGGACTCTAAGATAGAGGGACCAGGCATCCGACTTAAAGAAATAGCCACATATGTGTGTCCACAGCTACTGCCAGGAGCTTATCAAGAAAACAGAAACGAACAAATGAAAGAACACAGCCAAGATCAGCAGCAAGGAAGAGTCTCATTTAGCTTTAGCCAGAATCTGTTTGCTTGCTTTGTGTCTTTGAAATGGAATACAGAGCCGGGGAGAGCCTCAGCACTTTTTTTTTTTTTTTTTTTTTTTTTTTCAAAAACTCGGGTGAAAAGGGCGACTCTTGGCCTGTGTAAGGCCTCTCCCTGTGGGCCTCCTCACATCACATCTGCAAAACTGAGGAAATCAAGAACTTTTGCTCGCAGCCCGGGGAAAGGATGCCAAATCTGTTAAGATCAAGAAAAATTAGGGTAATTTGAAGTGTAGTTTTTGGTGCAGCAGATGTCTACCCTTGGCCTCCACGGGCAAAGGGAAGGCAGAGAAGCAGAGGCAGTCCCTGCCCTGGGTCTGCTGGGAAGGGCCTGAAATGAACCAGGCACCCTGGTTGAACTGTATGAAAACTTTAAAAATTCAAACAAACAAACATACAAATTAAGAAAAATTAAAGGGATGATAAAGCTACTTGTTTTCTGGTCGATCCAATTGGCCAATCACTGTATGGAGTCCAGTTTGAGTACTGTCATTGGGCTGCTTCATGTGGAATAGTGGGCCCTGGATTGGATCAGGAAATTCACCAGGCATGTGGCTTTTCAAGAGTGAAATCTGTTGACACGAAAAATCCTCAGCACATTGGGTGATTCAAGTGCACTTTCATAATTTGCTCTCATTTTCCCCTCTTTGTTATTTCCACATTCCACAAGAATCCATCACTCCTCTGAATTATGTGCTGCTCAGGACTGATGCTCATACCACCCAGTCAGGGAGGGCAACCTCAACTTCCCGAACTCACAGAACCTATTGTTCCGCCCCTTTCTGACCCAGCGCTGTCACTGTGGCTCTGTACTCCGGCTGGGAGGGCAGGGAAATGACTCCCCAGAGAGCCATTCATCATGGTAATAAATGCTCTAAGTTCCATCAAAGTTCACCTCCACACTGAAACAACACAATCATTCTCTGCATTCTTTTTTTTTTATATCAACATGTATACTGCCCATAAAAATTCACTAACTATTTGTGTATGTGTGATGGGTAAACTTGATGCTGCGTACACAGCTGTACACAAATTGTGTGCAGGCGCGTTTTTCTGTTTTTCGGTTTATATGAGCATCTGGCATTATGCTAGGACTTAAAAGACACTTTAATTCCTGGCTGGACCACTGCCTTCATAGGCTTTATATAGATACTACAACTACTTATATGCTTGGATTTTCATTAATTACTCTTCTTTAGTTTTCTTCCCAGCTTCCCAGGCATGTTGATTTTAATTGCTTCACTCATTTAAGCATCTCCAAAGACTATAATAGATTCATTAGCAGCCCAAGCCTGCTGTTGGCTTTCCCTTCTCCCCGTTTTTTGCCCACACACCCAAATTACCCGGAAGCAGTCATTGCCCAGTAATGAGGTTGGGGTTCCTCTCTATGGAGTCCAGGAAGACATAAAAGGCAGTCTTTATGTCTTTGTTACCATCAGCTCCTGCTCTCATTGTCTTCTTTCTACTGTACACTCTCTGCCCGCTGACTTTAGAAAAGCAGACATTACCCCAGCTTCCCAGAGCATGCAGTCCTATTAGTGAGTAATCTTAGAACAATTTACTATGTAAGACACCCAGAGTAAAACGGCACACACACACACTCACACAAGCAGTTTTTAAACCTCATTTGCTCAATAGTGCATTTAATAAAGTATATAGCAACTTATTTTGTCTGGCAGTATTTAATGCAATAACTTAAACCCTCCAAAAGGCCTAAACATTTAGACACAGATGTCATCAAGTAAGAGAAAATTTGTAATAATGGTCTGTAATTTAAAATTTAGATTGTGAGGAACTTGTTAAGAAAAACAAAAGGGCTTTATTAACTCATTTGTCTTTTTTATTAACTCTATTTTTGAGTTGACTGAATAATAGCCAATTAGAGTGGTAATTTGTTGGGTCCTACATTAGCTGGAAAGAAAAGAGGGGGAAAGAAAGCTATGGCAGAAGCTAGGAATTACCAAAAACTTATCTTGTTTGAATTAGAATCTGATATCCTCAAAGTAGGTTGATGACAATCTGTCCCTTTACATATTAAAGATACATGACTTAGACAGAGTTCCTGCCTGGCTACCACAATTTTAATTGTAGGAAAAGACCATGTGAAACACAGATGATTAAATAACAACAACAACACTCCCTACCCCCACCCCCAGAAAAAACCCACAGGCTGTGCTAACATATGTAAGGAAAGAACAGTTCCAGATATTGTGCTGAACTTCGCTTTTCTTCTGTTGATCCATAGGCCTTGCCATGCCACACTCTTCTGAGTAACGCCAAGTCTTTGTGGGGTTTGGAAGGGATGTTATCAGAAAGTGCAGTTGGTGTGATCAAAATTGTGGTTGTGTAGACTGAGCTGTTCTCAGGGCATAAATAGGTCACGAGAGGTGGACAATTAATCTTTGTGTAAGGAAATCTGCAGTTTAGAACTAAATTCCATGTTAACATAGCTGTCGTGTGTTATCTTGACATTATTTTAAATTCCAAGCTTTGGAGGTGACAAAGAGACTTTTTGATAAAATAAAATGCAGTCTGAGAAATGTATTGATTAATCAATGGCTAATATATTAATTACAAGCTTTTTAATAATAAAACATCTGGAAGAAAAGTTAGATAAACATTATCCAGAGGTTTGATTGACAGACT